ACTTGTCGGATAGCGAAAACGCCGAGACCATGGTTATCCTTGATACGACGTGCGGCTAATTTTGCGATAATTCTATTTTTTTCACAAAACTCAAGAAACGTCTTACAACAAGTCAGTAAAATACAATTTAATAAATTTTAGGCCTAATATGTAAGAAATTTAAAACTGGAAATCACAAAAAAATCAAATTACAGAAATGCAGTGTATACACGAGTTTTGGATCCCGCGGAGCGCGTGTAATGGAGAATTCTACAACTTAGAAGAAACATACACACTTTAAGCTTTGTATACACATTCAGAAGACATGAAATTTGGGTTTGCTTAATTTTCAGACCAAAAAACTGAAAATCGTCAATATTAGGCAATTTTTCTCAAAAACAGTTTTTTTTGGTCGTCACTCAATGAACAGTGGTCAAAAAAATAGATAAAATATTTTTCCAGAATTTTCCGTAATGCAGTTGTATTCTAGACACAATAAAGTACTCAAAACAAAAAGTTTTGAGCCATTGTGTGCATTTTTGGCATTTTTGTGCCACTTCAAACTTTTGAAAAAAAAATTATTTTTTTTTAGGGAAAAAAATTTGTTTAATTTTTTGATATCTTGGCCAATTATAATTCGATTTCGGTGAAATTTACACACGTATAAGATTTCATATTTAAGAGTAAGCTCTGTAAGTGGAAATAAAAAAATTTAAATAGTTTGGCCGTTATAGGCAAACAATGAAATTAGGCCCGCGGTACACTTAGCCCTTCCGCCATATGCCCAATTTTGGGATTTCTCTTGCCCCCTTCTGGGAATCAATAGTCACTTCCTTTAAGTTCAAAACGCATTTTTGTTTTTCCAAATATCTTAATTTTTACCAAGGTTATGAAGAATTGAGTGTTTGAACATTTAACAAATTCAATTTTTCGACCTTCGCCACCTCAAAATACTAAACAAATTTCAATCGTCCATACCGCAAGAACGGTGCATCGGATCAAAATTTCTTAAGAGACATGAAAATTAGCATTTTTCCTAAGCTTTCAAATATCGTAAACTGTGTTTTGAAAATATTGATTTATTTCCGATATGCACCTGCGCAAAATTGAAAAATTGACAAAATCCAAAATTTCGGCACTTTCGAAAAACAGCTACATTTTGTTTTGCATTTTTTCGAAAAGATCACCTTAAAATACATAGAATCTATTTTGTTTCATCTAATTACAATTTAATGTAAGCTCAAAACCCGTAATTTAATTCGATTATAAATCTGAGTGAAACATATGAAAGATAAATATTGTCAAAATGTATTTTATTACAAATATTATTATAAAAAATAAGTTTATAGAAAATACAGTCTTGAAAAAAATAAAAAAATGGTCCTTTTTTTCCAAGTTATAATGTAGCAACTGATATATAGAAAAATACAGAATATAAATAAAAAATTGTTCATGAAAAACTATTTATTCGGAAAGGCTAACATTAGATAATGTAATACTTATGAATTAATACTCGTCCAGCACATGTAGCACCACTCAAGGAATCATAAAATAAAATGGCTTTTCATCTTTTAAAAACTTGCAAAGTTCCTTAATAGTTTGTAGCTTAAGGACATTTATAGGTAAATCAGCAGAGTAAGCTAGCTTTTCAGGTATAGAGACAAATTCAACACCAGGTTTCAAAAGACGGAACACATCGGGACACATATTATTTAATGAAAAGCTGCCAAACATTAAATATTTTGATTCGGTTTTAAACTCAAAAAAACTTGTATTTTGTTATTTGGAATTTCAACTTATTATTTTTAAAAAATGGTTCTGATAATCCGTTTTTACCATATTTCCTTTTAGCTCAACAATAGTAAACTTAGAACTTATTATGCGGTTCCAATCTGAAGGCGATTCGACTATTTCTCTTCTTCTTTGCATTTTTTCCTTTATAGCAAAATGCCGGTCGCAAGGCAAAAAACCATGGCCTCGTTGTGGAAAAAAATGACCAACGCTTGCCAAAATTTCAGCATATTTTGGTTATGATTTTGTCCTCTGCAGCCATCCGTAAACACAGTTTTTTACGTTGCTAGGCAGAAATGCAGTAATGATTAAGAACAGATAGCACTTCATTACAGCCGCGTTTTACAGTATTTTCTGTCCAGGTATACATAATACTTTTTGATTTTTTCCCAGAGTAAATGGACCTGCAGTACATCCAAAGTTGCCTTTCATAGAATACGTCAGAAGTACACATATGTGGGCAAGGAATATTCTGCTTCAAGTCAAAGCAACTTCTGTATCCTCGTCTGCTCGCGCTTTTAACAAACATTCTTGCATTTTAGTATAGAAGAGCTTACCCCTTGTTTTATACACTTTGAGTTCTGTTTCCAAACTTCTTTTTAAAGCTTTTTTGGCCTACATTTCTGAACAAGTTGTACAAACATCAGAACGGGGGCGACCAAATGTGTAGTTATAGTTATCACGAAAATACTGCAAGTAGAAAGAATATTTAACTTCACATTTCAATTTTTGTAGATAACGTTCATTTTCCGTAGCATCTAAAAGAACTTCCGGGTAATGTTTTTCCAAGAGCATTTCATACATTTTCAAAACACTTAGCTGCGATGATAGATACCTTTTTCGCTCACCGCTCGGTCCATAGTGTATAATATAATATGAAAAACTTTGTATGGGCGTCAATAAGTTGAACAATATTACCAGGTAATTTGTTTTTTCTGTTTCGATGCTTGCCTCGATTATCGCTTAGTACTGCAGCTACAGTCTTCGAAGCACTAATATTTCGCACCCTTTTGGTCCCAATTCCATGCAACCTCGCAAATTCTTTCCGGCAAACAGACAGAACTTTCGCACCAATGTGCACTACGAAAATACGAAAAATTAAACTTCTTTTTAAACACTCCTTTTCTTTTTTGGTTGACTTGCAATATACGAGCCATTTCTTCTGCTGAGACATCTTAAAATTTATATTTATTAATAACGTATATTATACTTTACGTACCTAACCTCACTTGCATCTTGCAACTGTTGTCCTAGGTGCTTTTTTGCCTTTTTTGCAGTATATTCCAAACCTTTCGCCTTTAACTTTTTATTTTTAACATTTTTCCACTCGTCAGCATTCCTTTTTCTTTTTAATTTTATAATACTTGCTTCCTCGTTCTCTGAATTATCCATTATTTTAGGACCCATAAACTCAACTGTTATTTTGGGGTTATGTTTAACTAAA